CCTGTCGACTTCAAACCCCTTTGTCGGCAGCCCCGGTACCCCTCATTCCACGAGGAATAACGGGGCTGCCGACAAAGGACTTTGATGTCGACAGGGGGAACGTCCAGACTAGCGCGCAAGCCGACAAACAGCTGATCAGCTGTTTGTTGGCTCAGCGCGGCAGCCGTGTAAATGTAAATGAAGCCGCGATCATTTAAATCACAGCTTCATTTCCCTTTGCCAAAAAAACAAATCTACATGGCTCCGTTGACGGAGCCATGTAGTTTAGACGTACCCTTAGAGAGAGGGGAAAAAGTGGAAGAGGAGGGATAAAAATAGCCTAGAAGCTAACCTGGCACTGGTGTTCCTTGGCCCAGCTCAAGCCTTCTCTAAGGAGAAGGTGGCTAGATGAGGCCTTCACTATTCAAATGTTTCAAGGGACAGTCTCAGGAAGGTTTGGCAAGGTATAAGAGGAAGATTTAAAAAAAAAATGGAAATGTTAAAGACACTAAAACCCAGCACATCTCAGCACCCCACTGGTGCCCCTTGACTCACATTGTCAGAGTCTAGGCGCAACAAGACATTGGCACCAGAACAACCAGTGTGGTGTGAGAAGTGGTGGGAGGTCAAAGGTGTGGGGGGGGCAAGTGTGTTCCTTGGAATGTGATACCAGGCCAAGACGCAGCAAGGTTTGGTTTTGTCTAGTACATGGAGCCTGGATTCCAGTTCTCAGTTCATTCAAATGACTCCCAAAAACTTCTTATGGAATAATCTACCTTAACAGAAAAACCCTAGTGACAATGAAGCTTATATTTCTTTGTTTAAATTGAACGTGCTTGCTTCTTTTTTGGGGGTCTAAACTTAGGGTTTTTTTTTTAAAGACGACATGCAGGGTTCAGTGAACCCTAGGAATAAAAAGGACAATGGTTTTGAGCCAGGATGGTTGGGGTGTGTGTAAACCTTACTCAGTTCAGAAGATGATTCTACTGGCTGTGAATTTTTGCCACCACGCTCCACCAGTCATGGGAGGCTTGAAATAAGCCATAGCTTTCCACAAGGGCATGCCAACAAAGTCAAAGGGCCAAGAATTGGAAGGCTAAATTCTCTGTCTTCTCTCCTAAACCAACAGCAGCTGTTGGCTGTGATGTCTTAGGTAGATGTTACAAAAAATAAACAAACAAACAAAAAAAAAACATAGTTGCTTTTTTCATTTTGGGGTGTGTGAGTGTGAGAGAAATTTTCTGAAAGGGAGGATATGAAACATTTTGTTCTCCCCGACGCGCTCCCCATCTTATTGCACTCTGGTTTCTAGTAGGTTATAGGCTGCTATTCCCCTCATCCTCTGCCCTGCCAGGTGATTACACACTGACCCAGATGTGCTGGGAAAATGGAGGACAAAGGGGCCTTTTTTCCATAGCATCCAGGATCAATAAACAAAACTGGAAAGGGTCCAGACGCTCTAAGACGTTTCCTTCCTTTTATCTAAAAGTGACTACAAAAAGCCAAAGAGTTTGCTGAGTGAACCATTTAAGCATCTATCCACTGGGGTTTCTGGCTTAATACATTTTTGTCTTTGGCTGCGCTTTGTTTTAACAGTTTTCTAGCTGACTTTTGATGGAAGGATGGGGTGGTAAAAAATCCCTTGAGTTTTATTGTAAGTAAATGTATAAAGTAGAAGGTAAATTAAAGAAAAAAAATACACACCTAATCTTTCACTAACCATCTTACTGTTTGCATGAATTCAAGAGGTAGCAAAGGTAATGGGTCTGTTCAAACAGACTCGCTCTTTAGTGAGGGAGGAAAGGGAAACACACACACACACACACACACACACACACACATACCTAAGGAACTTGTAGTAAGTCCAGCCTACATCAAACCCCTTCCCCACCCCACCCACCCCCAAAATTAACCTCAGACCTTCCAGTTCAAACATTCACATAAACCAGGGGTGGGGGCTGCTGACACACACACACAAAATCAGTCAGGGGCTGCACACAAGTGAGAAGCAAACCCCCCCCCAAAACAAGCCTTCACTGACATGGCCCCCTGACTGAGAAGCAGAAAGACACCCCCTACATTCCCATCACACAGCAAAGCCTAGGGGGGCTCAGGCTAGTAGATTTTGTGTGCTCCAGCCCAGCAGGGGGCATTGGGGGCTGGAGCATCAGCACAGGCTGCCCAATGCTGGGGGAGAGCCCTGAGCCCTGGAGGCCAGATCCAAGCAAGCCAGGGGCCGCATCCGGCCCCCGGACCTTAGGTTCCCCACCCCTGGCATAAACATTACAATGTTTTTTTCCTTTAATAAAACAAGTATCGCTAAGCAAAGAATATTAATATAAAACTACTAGAAAAGTAAAGACGACCCCCCCTGCTCACTGAAAGAAATTCCCAGGGCATCCACAGCCCCGTTCAGTCATGGGTGAGGCTCCAGAGGTGAAGAGGAGGGGTGAGGCATGTGGCTAGATATGCCAAGGTTAAAGACTAAACCCAAAAAGGAAAAAGAATGTGTTGCCATCCGAAACACTACTAGGTACACACCTAGGTAGACTGCTTTAGCCATCTCCACCTCATAAGGAAGGCTAACACCTCCCCTTCATCATCTCAGCTTCCCACAGAATCTAAAGGGGCTGCCAACCCTGTTATAGTCAGTCCACAGCTTCCGCCATGGGCACAGAAAAACCAACACTTTGTAGCCACTTGGTCCATTAAATTTTTTTTTTTTAAGGAGTGGCAAGAAATGCCCTTATTGAGTCTGGTTGTGACATTAATATTGTAACACGAGCACAAAAGGCAAAGCTCACAGAGTAGCCAGTGGATGACAAATTCCACTTGCACTTTTCATTAATGCAGGAAATAACACTTGATCAATGTCTATAAAGCACTACAGGAGTACCAACAAGAGGTGAATAAAGGGTTGGTACAGCCCAACTTGATCCAATCTCCCTTTGGGCAATATAATTTCTCTCTCCATTCCTACTTACCATCCAATAGTCAGGAGGCCTCACTCCTGTTACCTGGGTGTGGGGATCAAAAGAAGAGTGGCCAAATCAACACCCACAAAAATAAATGGCATTTCTTGCCACACCACTGAGATGTGGGAAGGAAGGGGTGGGGAATGATTTGTGAATGGCATCAGCTCCGCTGTGGACCTACATTTGTCTTTTTATAAAAAATGTTAAAGCTACATTTGTTTAGGCTGCCCATGACCGAACAAAGGAGGGGAGTTGCCTTCTTAAGCAGCAAGTTTACAGAAAGGTAAATCACTGCGGATGGGCTCGAAGCTCATTCTGGAGTCTTTGGCTTATGTGGGAGAGGTATGCATTCGCAGGTGGCTGATCAGATTGCGCTGCTGGGTGAATTTCCCACCACACAGTTGACATTCATAGGGTTTTTCTCCTGAGTGGACACGCATATGCTCTGTCAGTCGGTACTGCCGGGTAAAGCGCATCCCGCATTCCTCGCAAGCAAAGGGCTTGAGCCCTAAATGGCTGCGCATGTGCCGTGTCATGGTACCCCGCTGCGTGAACATCTTGCCGCAGATGTTGCAAGGGAAGGGCCGTGTCAGCCAGTGAGTCTTCTCGTGCTGCCGCAGAGTGGCCGGATCCTTGTAGCTCTTTTCACATATGGAGCATTTAAAGGGCCGGGACTCTGCAGCGTAGGGCTGGTTAGGGTTGGACAAATCCTCGGCTTCCTCCTTATCATCATATGTGCCTTCCTCCTTGATGTAGAGGTCTTCCTCGGTGTGCGTCTCCACGTGGGCATTAAGCTGCTCAGAGCTAGGGAAGCCCTTGCCACAGGGGATGCAGACGTACAGGTTGTCACCATAGGCCACAGGCTCAAACCCCTCCTGCCGGTAAACGTAGTTGGCACTGGTGTGCCCACCGCTTTCACACACACTCTGGCCACTGTCATCACTCATCTCCTTGCCATTTTCAATCTCCTCTCTACACTGGAATGCCTGCTCCGGGCCATAGGCGTTGCTTAGGTTCCGCTCGGCCGACTTGGACAAGGGACCCATCAGGATGCCATTGGGCAGCCCCTCGCTTTCCTCGCCACCTTTGATCCCCTCATTCCGGTCAAAAGCGTTGTCTTTCTTGATCCACTCCTTTTTGCGTGCAGCGTGCCGGAGGCTCTTGCGCTGGCCACTCTCCGCCAGGGAGTGAGTCTCCTCGTTCATGTCCATCTCCATGGGTTCACTGCTGTCTGCTGCACTGTGGGGGGCTCCGGCGGCAGACTCGTCGAAAGATGAGGCACTGTTGGCTGCAGGGGCTGAGGCAGATTGGGGAGAGCCATGCTGGCTTTCGCTGAGCTGCGTGTCATCCTGGGAGGCTGCCATGGGGAGCGATGGGCTTTTTTTGGACAAGTCAAGGCCAAGCTCCTGGTCACCATTGCTTCCATTTGCACTGCCACCACCACTACCGTTCTTGTTGGCTCCCCGGCTTAAGGAGTGAGAGTTCTCTTGGTTAGAGCTGCCGATGAAGATCTCATCGTCAGAGACCTTTCCCTTTGGCAGCTCCTTTGAGTGTGAGCCCTTCATCCCCTCAGTTGACCCTGAATAACGAGTTTGGATGACTGAAGTGGTAGAAAGCCTCTGACTCCTGGGAGGTCTCCCGATACTGGGCCCACCGGCCCTGCCAGAGAAAGACCTCCCATTCCGCTTCAGCTTCTTCCTGCAGAGAGCTGCAAGGTCGTGCAGTTGGAGGTAGCTTGCTGCGGTGAGAAGAGCATTAAAGTTCTGTTCACCAGGCTGGTCAGTCGTTAAGAGCTTCCCAGTATAAATAAAGTCTAAGATCTGTCGGAACACAGTGGGGTTCACCATGTCCGTGTCTAAGTTAATTAGGTTGTCATGCAGGACGAGGGATTTGAAATACATGCTGCTGGCTGCCAGGATGTTCTTGTGGGCACGAAACAGGGCATTTTCTACCACAATAATCACGTCACAGAGGAAACCTTTGGCTCGTTGCTGGTTCAGCTGCAGTAGCAGTTGTTTGGCATGATTTGGCAGTTCCATCTCCAACTTCTCTTCCTCTCACCTTCGCTTTACCACCTGCAAGACAGGAGAACACGTCTGTGAACTCACCGCTTCCACTTGGACAAACTTGTGTTTAACAAAGTGGGTTAAAAGACTGCTGTTTAACATTAGGTTTGACACTGACTAAGGAATTCTGGGTGCATTCCAGAACTGCAAGCTGTGCTCCTGGTAGGAATACAAGGAGAAACATTTCTCATGCTAAAGCCTCAGGGGGATGGGGGAAGAAAGCAAGTTGTTTCACCATTATTTATAGATCGGAAACATGTACATTTTTAACATAAGCAGCAGCATTCTTTGCTTTAAATATGTGGTTTGTATCTTTGGGGTTAAAGATATTACATGCAGCAATTATTCCATACGCAAGGCAATTTAGTTACATTGAGGTGGGAAACTGGGGAGGGGTGGCTTTTAAGAGTATCAAATGTGAGTTTAAAAATGCTAAATAATTTGGAGCACTGATTTTTGTCATCCTTCTCTTCAGGGGGACCAGGCTGTGGATTTGAACTGGGGTAAATTTTTTAAGTACTTTAAAGTGCTAAATGTTCTTGTTACTACTGCTAAAAAAGATTATCAATAATTACTACTCTTTTTTAATAATTTAAATGAAGTAACAGGTTTTGGTTTAAACAGATTAATTCCCTCTCATGTTTCTGTTCCCTTTATTATTCTATCCCCTGAATGATGGTTAGATTAAAGACATAAATCTCTTTTATATCCATACATTGCATACACTCTCACACTCTCTCCCCCCCTCCCACTCCTAATATATCTGGAGTTTTAATGTTGGCAGCTTCTTTGACTTTTTGATCATCATAAAAATCTACTGGCTTTCCAAGCACTATTTTAATCTTTTGAAATGCATGGCAGGGGGAACATCAAGATTATATTTGTGGATTTCCTGGGTATTACCATGCCAACAAGAGAGAGTTAGTGTCAATTATTCCACTTAACTGGATTTCCAGTTCCTTTTCTACTTCATTAGCTGGATTTCACACACAAAGAATCCAGCCCTGGACTTGACTGATTTCAGCATTCAAATTTTGGGGAGGCATTTCCCTGACATCTATTTTAAAAAGTACCTATTCCTTCCCAGCCAAACAAATTCTGGGTAACTGGCTTGGGGTTAATGAACTTCCCCCAGATAGAAATGTAAGTTTGCTCTCACCCTCCACCCCTGCCCCAAAAAAACATTTCTGATTTTTTTCTTATGGATGGTTGCTTACATTAATTGATTTCTACTAAACACCAAACATAAAAAAACATGTCAACACACTCTAGACCAGGCCTGGCCAAGCCACTGGATTTGGCCCGCGGACACTGCAGGGAGCCCCAGTCAGGCTCCCTGCTTTCCTCACCCCACCCACACACCACTCAAATGCAGTTGCGGGGCAGTTTTGCTTTAAAAACTGAGCCCGGAGGGGAGGAGAGGAAACTTCAGGAGCTGCTCCAACCCCAGCACAATCCCATTGGCCGGCTTCTGGCCAGAAACTGGCCAATGGGAGCTGCCTGTTTATGCAAAGCACCCCCCCCTTCCCTGTGGTTCAGTTATTCACACAAGCTAATGGCCATGCAGCCTGTGCAGCTGTGGAGCAGGCAGGCTGGCTGAGAAACTTTTTAAGCTCTGCAAGCATTTAGCTGTGCAGGCAGGCAGGCTGGTTGGGCTGCTAAGTGTCCTGGCCAGAGCCTGTCTCTGGCATCCCAGCCCCTCTCTTCAGATCTTCCAGAAAACACCATCGTGACACTACGGATTTCCTGAGAAAACTACAATGCATTGGTGATCTTCCAGAAAACACCATCCTAGCCACCATGGATGTAGAGGCTCTCTACACAAACATCCCACATGCAGATGGAGTACAAGCTGTCAGGAACAGTATTCCTGATGATGCCACAGCACAACTGGTGGCTGAACTCTGTGAATTTATCCTCACACACAACTATTTCAGATTTGGTGACAACATATACCTCCAGACCAGTGGCACTGCTATGGGCACCCGCATGGCCCCACAATACGCCAACATTTTTATGGCTGACCTGGAACAACGCTTCCTCAGCTCTCGTCCACTTACCCCCCTTCTCTACCTACGTTACATCGATGACATCTTCATCATCTGGACCCATGGGAAGGAGACTCTGGAAGAATTTCACCATGGTTTCAACAGCTTCCACCCCACCATCAACCTCAGCATGGACCAATCTACACGGGAGGTCCATTTCCTGGACACCACGATACAAATAAGTGACGGTCATATCAATACCACCCTATACAGAAAACCTACCGACCGCTATACTTACCTGCATGCCTCCAGTTTCCATCCCGGACACACCACACGATCCATTGTTTACAGCCAAGCACTGAGGTACAACCGCATATGCTCCAACCCCTCAGACAGAGACCTACACCTACAAGACCTTCAACAAGCATTCTGTAAACTGCGATACCCACACGAGGAAGTGAGGAGACAGATTGACAGAGCCAGACGTGTACCCAGAAGCCTCCTGCTACGGGACAAGCCCAAGAAAGAAACCAACAGAACACCACTGGCCATCACCTACAGTCCCCAGCTAAAACCTCTCCAACGCATCATTAGTGATCTTCAACCCATCCTGGACAATGATCCCTCACTTTCACAGGCCTTGGGAGGTAGGCCGGTCCTTGCCCACAGACAACCCGCCAACCTGAAGCATATTCTCACCAGCAACTACACACCGCACCATAATAACTCGAACTCAGGAACCAATCCTTGCAACAAACCTCGGTGCCAACTCTGCCCACATATATACACCAGCAACACCATCACAGGACCTAACCAGACCAGCCATACTGTCACTGGTACATTCTCCTGCACATCCACCAACGTAATATATGCCATCATGTGCCAACAATGCCCCACTGCTATATACATCGGCCAAACAGGACAGTCCCTACGTAAAAGAATCAATGGACACAAATCTGATATTAGGAATGGCAACATACAAAAACCTGTAGGGGAACACTTCAATCTTCCTGGACACACAATTGCAGATCTAAAAGTAGCCATCCTGCAGCAAAAAAACTTCAGGACCAGACTTCAAAGAGAAACTGCTGAGCTACAGTTCATCTTTAAGTTTGACACAATCAACTCTGGATTAAACAAAGACTGTGAATGGCTTGCTAACTACAAAAGCAGCTTCTATTCTCTTGGAATTCACACCTCCAGATCAGCTGCTAGAAGTGGGCCTCATCCTCCTTGATTGGATCCACCTGGTCATCTCCAGCCTGATCCTGGCCTGCATATTTATTCCTGCCTCTGGAAATTTCCACTACATGCATCTGACGAAGTGGGTCTTTGCCCACGAAAGCTTATGCTCCTACACTTCAGTTAGTCTATAAGGTGCCACAGGACTCCTCATCGCTTCTGCAGATTCAGACTAACACGGCTACCCCTCTGATACTTGACACCATGCAAGGCACTGCATTTAGCCGTATGGAGTGGAAATCTATCAACCTCATGAAGAAACTTGCACAAGTACAAACTGATATCATCTTTCTCTCCAAATGCAAACGGATGGACATTATACCAAATGGACTGAAGGTGAAAAATCCATTGCTATCTACATACTGCACAGACTACAGTGAGAGATTATGCCATATACTATCCAAAAAACTGAGGAACCACCTGATCAGCATCCTGTACAGCAAACAGGAAAACATCAAAAAAGAGCTCTCCAATCTGGAGTCTCTCATAAAACACCAACCTTCTGCACAAATGGACTTTACTAAAACAAGACAGGAGATCTACATTACACACTTCACTTCTCTACAGAGGAAAAAGGACTGTAAGCTGTCTAAAATCCTCCCTGCCACATGGGGCCACAACAATGGTACCCCTAACTCACCCAGCAATATCGTCAATCTCTCCAACTACACACTCAGCTCGGCAGAAGAATCTGTTCTATCTCGGGGACTCTCTTTTTGCCCCGCCACCCCCACTAACATGATACAGTTCTGCGGTGATCTGGAAGCCTACTTTCGCCGTCTCCGTCTCAAGGAATACTTCCAACACGACACTGAACAGTGCACTGACACACAGATACCTTCCCACCAACAGCACAAGAAGAAGAACTCCACATGGACTCCTCCTGAGGGCCGAAATGGCAGTCTGGACCTCTACATAGAATGCTTCCGCCGACGTGCACAGGCAGAAATTGTGGAAAAACAGCATCGCTTGCCTGGTAACCTCAGTCGTGCAGAACGCAATGCCATCCACAGCCTCCGGAACAACTCTGACATTATAATCAAAGAGGCTGACAAAGGAGGTGCTGTTGTCATCATGAACAGGCCTGACTACCTAAAGGAGGCTGCCAGACAACTCTCCAATACCAAATTCTACAGGCCACTTTCCTCAGATCCCACTAAGGAATATACTAAGAAACTGCACCATCTGCTCAGGACACTCCCCAAACAAACACAGGAACAAATCGACACACCTTTAGAGCCCCGACCAGGGTTGTTCTATCTATTACCCAAGATCCACAAACCTGGAAATCCCGGACGCCCCATCATCTCGGGCATTGGCACTCTTACTGAAGGACTGTCTGGCTATGTGGACTCTCTGCTCAGACCCTACGCCACCAGCACTCCCAGTTACCTTCGTGACACTACGGATTTCCTGAGAAAACTACAATGCATAGGTGATCTTCCAGAAAACACCATCCTAGCCACCATGGATGTAGAGGCTCTCTACACAAACATCCCACATGCAGATGGAGTACAAGCTGTCAGGAACAGTATTCCTGATGATGCCACAGCACAACTGGTGGCTGAACTCTGTGAATTTATCCTCACACACAACTATTTCAGATTTGGTGACAACATATACCTCCAGACCAGTGGCACTGCTATGGGCACCCGCATGGCCCCACAATACGCCAACATTTTTATGGCTGACCTGGAACAACGCTTCCTCAGCTCTCGTCCACTTACACCCCTTCTCTACCTACGCTACATCGATGACATCTTCATCATCTGGACCCAT